GGCTACCATGTCCTCTCTCAGCCTTCTCTTCTTCAGGCTAAACATACCCAGCTCTTTAAACCGCTCCTCATAGGAGCACTTGTCCTTTATCCCTTGTAAAAAACGTGAAAGTTCTGCGGGAGTTCTATACCATTTTTGTAACATTTTCCTTCTTGCTCCCCTTAATACATTGTACTTTTCTTTTGCTATATTGCTTATTTCCCTTTGGATGTCTTCTGTAGTGATTTCCCTACCTGTTAGGCTTGGAAAAGCCTAGGAAAGTAGGCCCAAGAAGTTCAGCAGCCGTTTTGGAAAGGGTGCCAGGGCATCCATTTTGAAATCTCATTTCCTGAAGAGGGCGAGCTTAGGTACTTGGAGGGAAATGAGAGGAATTAGTGATTGGCTGGGAGAGAGTGGGTGGAGCTTAACTTAGAAGAAAAGAAAAATGATTTTAAGGGGGCGTTTTAAAACCCTGTCCAGTGGGAGATTGTAACTGGGTGTCAAAGGAGAAGGAGCTCGGAGCTTGGAGTGGAGAAGAGATTACTGAGAGAGGCCTAAAGTGGTCGGTTAGCTAGCAGAGATAGCTAGTCTTCCCACTATTACAGCTATTAGGGACTCCAGGGGTTTCTTGTAGACACCGATTATCTAGATCCCACACAGTCTGGTTTTAGGTCGGGACATGGGACTGAGACAGCCTTGGTCGCCTTGGTAGATGATCTTCACCAGAAACTGGACAGGGGGAATGTGTCCCTCTGGTTGTGCTGGACCTCTCTGACCTTCGATACCGTTGACCACGGTATCCTTCTGGGACGCCTCATAGACATGGGACTTGGGGGTACTGCTTTGCAGTGGCTTCGGTCCTTTCTCGAAGGACGGTCCCAGAAGGTGTTACTGGGTGGCACAACCTGGAGATCACAGCCATACACAGTGAAGACATCTGCCCTTGCGCTGTGCTATTCTGCCGCTCAGTATGCATGCCCAGTGTGGAACACATCTCACCACACTAAAACAGTGGATGTGGCTCTTAATGAGACATGCCGCATTATCATAGGGTGTCTGCGCCCTACACCACTGGAGAAATTACACTGCCTAGCCGGTATTGCACCACCTGATATGCGCCAGGAAGTAGCAGCAAATAGTGAAAGGACCAAGGCAGAGACATCTCCAGCTCATCCCCTGTTTGGGTATCAGCCAGCACGTCAATGACTTAAATCTAGAAATAGTTTTCTAAGATCTACAGAGACACTCGCTGGAACACCTCAGCAAGCGAGAGTCCAAAAGTGGCAGGCTCAAACCCAGAACCTCAACCAATGGCTGATACCAAATGAGAGACTCCCCCCTGGGCACACAGAGGACTGGGCGACTTGGAAGGTGCTGAACAGACTGCACTGGCAGCACGAGATGCAGAGCCAACCTTCAGAAATGGGGCTACCAAGTGGAATCCTCGACAGGTGAGTGTGGAGAGGAGCAAACCACTGACCACCTGCTGCAATGCAACCTGAGCCCTGCCACATGCACAATGGAGGACCTTCTTGCAGCAACACCAGAAGCACTCCAAGTGGCCAGATACTGGTCAAAGGACATTTAATCAACTACCAACCTCACAAATTTTGTATTTTGTCTGTTTGTTTGCTTTGTTCTGTTAGAAATGTAATATAATTGACTGGTTGCCCTGACACGACAAATAAAAATACCTAGATACGTGTATGTTCGGCCCCACAACCATTGTTGTGTGGAGTCCCACTTGGCTCAATTCTGTCCCCGATGTTGTTTAACATCTACATGAAGCCGCTGGGGGAGATCATCCGGAGTTTCGGAATGAGGTGTTATCTCTACGCAGATGATGTCCAAATCTGTCACTCCTTCTCACCTGTCACCAAGGAGGCTGTCCAAGCCTTGAACCGGTGCTTGGCTGCTGTGTCGGACTGGATGAGAGCTAACAAATTGAAATTGAATCCAGACAAGACAGAGGTCCTACTGGTCAGTCGTAAGGCCGAACAGGGTGTAGGGTTACAGCCTGTGTTAGATGGGGTTACACTCCCCCTGAAGACGCAGGTTCGCAGTTTGGGAGTGATCCTGGACTCATCGCTGAGCCTGGAACCCCAGGTCTCGGTGGTGGTCAGGGGAGCTTTTGCACAATTAAAACTTGTGCGCCAGCCGCGCCCGTACCTTGGGAAGTCTGACTTGGCCATGGTGGTCCACGGTCTGGTTACATCCCATACTTACTTAGGCGATCCCTCGTTGGATGAGTAAGATGGTCTTCCATTATGGGTTTCCTTGTGGCTGTGGAGCCCTATTCTTGCTCTGCATCTTCTTCCGCAGTGTGGGCATTGGTTTCCAGGTGGAAGGCGGTCCCGGTCGGGGTTGGCTTGACGCACCTTCCTCCTGGCACGTTTCTCTCTTTCACCCTCCACTCGTGCCTCCTCGAATTCTGCAGCACTGCTGGTCACAGCTGACCTCCAGCTGGAGCGCTCAAGGGCCAGGGCTTCCCAGTTCTCAGTGTCTATGCCAGAGTTTTTAAGGTTGGCTTTGAGCCCATCTTTAAATCTCTTTTCCTGTCCTCCAACATTCCGATTTCCGTTCTTGAGTTCAGAGTAGAGCAACTGCTTTGGGAGGCGGTGGTCAGGCATCTGGACAATGTGGCCTGCCCAGCAGAGTTGATGTTGGAGGACCATCGCTTCAATGCTGGTGGTGTTTGCTTCTTCCAGCACACTGACGTTTGTCCGCTTGTCTTCCCAGGAGATTTGTAGGATTTTCCGGAGGCAGCGCTGATGGAATCGTTCCAGGAGTTGCATGTGACGTCTGTAGACAGTCCACGTCTCACAGGCATATAGCAGGGTTGGGAGGACAATAGCTTTACATCCCATATAGACTACTGCAACACTCTCTACGTGCGGTTGCTTCTGAAGACTGCCCGGAAGCTGCAATTAGTCCAACGAGCCAGGAGAGAGAATTCCAAATCTAACCACATCATGCCTAAGACACTGATTAAAACTGGTAGCTATGAGGGGTATTTTTTAAGCAAGGTCCGTTTTGTTGTAGACACTAGTAGTTCACGCGCATACCGCAACGAGCGCGTGCGTCGTGTACCGGCATGCGTCGGGAACAACTGTGCTCAGTTTCCGCTCTGTAGCTAACCTGTACGGTTCTGTTCTGTGCTTTAAAAATGTTTAAGACTATCAACTCACCCTCCGCATGTGAGGTTCGCTCAGTGATACGGTTTTTGTCAGCAAGGAACCTGCCTGCTGCAGAAATTCATCGACAGATTTGTGAAGTGTACGGTGATACTGTTATGAGTGAAAGCAAAGTGCGTAAGTGGGTACGACAATTCAAAGATGGCCGTGACAACGTCCATGATGAGGACCGCTCCGGTCGCCCTTCTTTGATTACAGTGAACTCTTGGTTATCGGAGCAGGCGGCAAGTTTTTATGAAGAGGGTATTTTAAAATTGGTTCAGAGGTATGTAAGTGTTTGAACAAACTTTGCAACTATGTCGAAAAATAGAGTGCAGTATGTACTTTCTGAAAATAAATTTACTTTTTTGAAATAAACTTTCGTTGTGTACTTATGTTCCAACGGACCTTACTTAAAAAATACCCCTCATATATCCCATTGATTCAAAGAGACTACTCTGCTGAGAACTACGTAACAAGAGGATTTAAGCCTATAATTGCTTTCCTCCTAGTAGTTCCTTTCAACTAGTAATTCCAGTTCCACATTCTGAACTCTAGGGAGATTTATTTTAAAGGAAGCACAAAGACAAGATTTCCCAATCACTGTCATCTACAGATGTAGGCATGCCTTGTCATATTGAACTCAGAACCGAAGAGTTCTGGTCGACCAGCAACAATCTGTGTGGCCTCCAGAGACCATGTTGTTTTGAAAACTTTTCCTTTTCTCTTTCTCTCAATCTTTCTGGATGCTTCTAGAAGGTTCCCTTTGTGACCAGAGGCAGCCCTAGGTAATTTTCAATGGTAAGCAAACAGTATTTTGCCCCGCCCCCCCCCCCAACCAATCACTGATATATATTTTCTGTTCGTTATGGGAGTTCTGTGTGCCATATTTGGTTCAATTCCATCATTGGTGGAGTTCAGAATGCTCTTTGATTTTAGGTGAACTATACATCCCAGTAACTACAACTCGCATATGTCAAGGTCTATTTTCCCCCAAGAGCCTCAAGAGCGCGCTTGTCAATAAGGTAAAGGTAGTCCCCTGACATTAAGTCCAGTCATGTCTGACTCTGGGGTGTGGTGCTCATCTCCATTTCTAAGCCGAAGAGCCAGCATTGTCCGTAGACACCTCCAAGGTCATGTGGCCGGCATGACTGCATGGAGCGCAGTTACCTTCCCACCGGAGCGGTACCTATTGATCTACTCACATTTGCATGTTTTCGAACTGCTAGGTTGGCAGAAGCTAGGGCTGACAACGGAAGCTCACGCCGCTCCCCGGAATCGAACCTGTGACCTTTCGATCAACAAGCTCAGCAGCTTAGTGCTTTAACCACTGCGCCCACTGCTTACTTTGTGTAATGGTTGAGCCGCCCCTGTTTGTGACATGCCCCCCTGCCTCTCACCCCCTCAATTCGTTTTCTCCCGCCCTATGAAATATTGAGCAACCTGTTGAGAAGGCATGTGCCAGAGGGAGCAGCAGCAACAACAACAAAACCCTTAGTGTTTCTTTCCCCAACTCTCCGTGGACAGTTCCTCCAGATCCACCGAGCCCTGCAGCCTCGCAGCGCCTCACCTGAGAGACTAACCAACCTCCATCAAAGGCAGAGTCAAGAAAAAACAGCCTGCCAATGCACCATCCCCTTGGCTACAAGATCCAGTGCTTTTTCCACCATAGCTTCTCTTCTACACAAAGTGCTACATACTGAATATATGCCCCCAGCCCCCAAATATCCCTTCCCCATGAGTACCATACACTGTGCCCTTCCAGATATTCCTGGTCATGTGCATATGGGGAGGGGAGCATTTGGTAATAACTGAGGGAAGCCGATTCATTTCAGACAGCACCCCTACCTCATTTGCACTCAGGAGGTACCGCTCTGTGTCTTGTGGGCATCTGCTCATTTTCAGTAGCGTCGCCATTTCTGATGGAGGGAGAAAGAGAGGAAGAAAAAGAAGAGAAGAGAGAGGATTACAGTAAGTCTCAAGGGAAACAGCAAGGGAGAGGCACACGCATGCATAACTAGGTAACGGTTTTGTATCTACGTCCGGTGGTGATTTATAGCTACGCCGGGCCTATTCCGCTGAGGAAGTACATGAGCCACGCACGCAGATTGCACAGTGGAAGAGATGAGCCCAAACTGACCGCACCCACCCATACCTTCTCATGCCCTGACTCTCGCGTATAATGCTGGAAATAAGAAATTTTTACCAGGCTACTTGCTCACTGGCAGGAATGCTCCAAGAAAGGAAAGGAATACGAGCAAAGGAAATGAACATCTGCAGCAAGCCCGTTGCGTCCACCTAGGCGAGGGCATCACACGCAGCCAGCGGCAGAAGCTGGGGAAAGATCACTTTCAGTTTCTGATAAAAAGGGCCGGAGCAGTTGCCAGGATGCAGCCACTGCTTCTGGAACAAGGGCTTGGCTGGCAGTCATTTCAGATATCCAAAACAATCAGGAGAGCAGCAAGGGAGTGAAAGGGAATTGCACGCCTGCCATGCTGTGGATGCACAAGGCATGGTGTTATGGAGGAATGCATGGAAAGGGAAAGGTGACCCTTTCCTTCTGCAAAATGTAAGTTGCCCATTATGTACCACGGCCTTTGCAGCATGCGTGTATGCTTGCACACACATACATCTGTAGGCTTAGCAACCATCACATGGCAACTCATCTGGACTGCTCATCGGCTCAAGAGAAAGAGACTGCATGTGAAGAGCTGTGATTTGATGAGAGGGGCCTGTGTTTTACTTCGAAAACCAATTCAAAGTGCTGGCGTTAGCCTATAAAGCCCTAAACGGTTCTGGCCCTACTTACCTCTCCGAACGCATCTCCTCCTATGAACCGACTAGGACACTAAGATCATCTGGGGAGGCCCTGCTCTCTGTCCCGCCTGCATCACAGGCGCGCTTGGCGGGGACGAGAGACAGGGCCTTCTCAGTGGTGGCCCCTCGGCTGTGGAACGCCCTGCCTGCAGATATCAGATTGGCCCCCTCCCTGCTGGCGTTTTGGAGGAAAGTGAAGACCTGGCTGTTCGAACAAGCATTTGATTAAACAGTGTAATTGAACATAGGAATACGGAATAATGGATGATGAGACTGGATTCTGATTTTACTGTTGAAGCGCTAATGCTTGTTATACGGATGTTTAATGATTTATGTTACAATTTATTGTCGAAGGCTTTCATGGCTGGAATCACTAAGTTCTTGTGGGTTTTCTCGGGCTCTAGGGCCATGTTCTAGAGGCATTTCTCCTGACGTTTCGCCTGCATCTCTGGCAAGCATCCTCCGAGTGAGGTCTGTTGTACAGACCTCACCACCTCTGAGGATGCTTGCCATAGATGCAGGTGAAACATCAGGAGAAATGCCTCTAGAACATGGCCCTAGAGCCCGAGAAAACCCACAAGAACCTATGTTACAATTGTTTTTAATTGCCCTATACTTGTCTCCTGATGTTTTGTATCGATGTTGTTCACTGCTTTGAGTCGCCTGGGGGCTGAGAAAAGCGGTATATAAATAAATAAATAAATAAATAAATAAATGAGCCTCCATATATTGTTGGGAGTACAAAAACCATTAGTTCATGGCGAGACATTAGTCCTTACTACTAATCTATATAAATAAAAATGTAATGTTCGTTTGTGGGATCAACAGAACTCAAAAACCACTGGGGGAATTGACACCAAATTTGGACAGCATACACCTAACAACTCAATGTATCGCCTTCACCCCCAAAAATTGATTTTGTCATTTGGCAGTTATTATTGCTGGGATGTGGTGGTGCAGTGGGTTAAACCCCTGTGCCGGCAGGACTGAAGACCGACAGGTTGCAGGTTCTAACGGGGAGAGTTGGATGAGCTCCCTCTGCCAGCTCCAGCTCCTCATGCGGGGACATGAGAGAAGCCTCCCACAAGGATGATAAAACATCATATCATCCGGGCGTCCCCTGGGCAAGGTCCTTGCAGACGGCCAATTCTCTCACACCAGAAGTGACTTGCAGTTTCTCAAGTCTCTCCTGACATGACCAAAAAAAATTTGCAGGGATTTATAGTTCCCCTACAATCAAAGAACATTCTGAACCTCACCAACGATGAAATTGAACCAAACTTGGCACACAGTTCTCCTATGATCAAGAGAAAATACTGGAAGGGTTTGGTGGCCAGTGTCCTTTGGTTTTGGAGTTGTAGTTCACCTACATCCAGAGATCACTGTGGACTCAAACAATGATGGATCTGGACCAAACTCTACATGGATACTCAATATGCCCAAATGTGGAGTTTGGGGGAAATAGACTCTTGACATTTGGGAGTTGTCGTTGCTGGGATTTATAGTACACCTACAATCACAGAGCAATCTGAACCCCACCAATGATAGAATTGGGCCAAACCTCTCACACAGAACTCCCACATGGGTCACAGCAACGCGTGGCAGGGGACGGCTAGTCTATATAAATAAAAATGTAATGTTCGTTTGTGGGATCAACAGAACTCAAAAACCACTGGGGGAATTGACACCAAATTTGGACAGCATACACCTAACAACCCAATGTATGTCCTTCACTCAAAAATTGATTTTGTCATTTGGGAGTTGTAGTTGCTGGGATTTATAGTTCACCTACAATCAAAGAGCATTCTGAACCCACCAACGATGGAATTGAACCAAACTTAGCACACAGTTCTCCCATGACCAACAGAAAATACTGGAAGGGTTTGGTGGGCAGTGTCCTTTGGTTTTGGAGTTGTAGTTCACCTACATCCAGAGATCACTGTGGACTCAAACAATGATGGATCTGGACCAAACTTGGCACAAATATTCCATATGCCCAAATATGAACATAGATGGAGTTTGGGAGAAATAGACCTTTACATTTGGGGGTTGTAGTTACTGGGTTTATAGTTCATCTACAATCAAAGAGCATTCTGAACCCCACCAACTGCAGAATTGGGGCAAGCTTCCAACACAGAACCCCCATGACCAACAGGAAATACCCAAGACCATCCAGTCCAACTCCCTTCACCAGGGCAAGAAAACATAATCAAAGCCCTCCTGACAAAGAGTCAGCCAGCCATAGATATAGATAGATATATATGATTCACACACACACACACACAGATATAGTATCATAGATTTGAAAGGGACCCCTAAAGAAGGACAATTATATGTTGCATGTTCCAGAGTAGGCAAACCAGACAATCTCCACATCAACACTGACAAAGAAACAGCAAGAAATACCGTTTACCCAACAAGCATAAAGAAAATTCCCACAGATATTAGCTTAGCACCATCTCTAATGGTATTCCGCAAGAAAGTAAAGACCTGGTTATTACAGCAGGCATTCGAATAATTGTGCAATGACTGGTAATGACATAGGAATGGAACAATGACGAATCTGGATCATGTTTTTAGTGATGAGACCTTAGTGAATGGTTATTATAGTAATTGTGTATTAATTGTGTATTAGATTAGGTTATTAACTGTTTTATTGGTGTTGAATTTTGCTGTGTCCTGTGTCTTGTGAACCGGGCTGAGAACAGCAGTATAGAAGTAAAGTAAATAAATAAATAAATAAATAAATAAATAAATAAATAAATAAATTACATAGATTAGAAACCAACACTTGCTCATTACTTTATTTTCCAGATTACCTGACTGGGCCACAGCAACGCGTTGCAGGGGACGGCTAGTCAATAGTAAATAATGATGGGTATTTTAGTATAATAGCACCAGAAAGGCCATACTTTGACACATCCACCCCATGCAGATATCTATAGCTATGCCCACTGGTAGATTCTGGGAGATGTTGTGCAAAACGTAAACATTTCAAGTGTGTAAATGTGAAAGATGTCAAGTACCATGGAAGAAGATTCCTCAGCTGAGAGTAAATGGCCACTGCCACTTTGAGTCCCACTCAGGAGAAAAGTGGAATAAAAATGAAATAAATAAATCAATAAGAAAATATCCAGAAAAGATTGTACTGGACCAGATGCTCCATATAGGGCTATTGTCATGCAACCAAGTGTTACCTGTCCATAAAACTAACAGTAGCAGCAAATTATCTGATGTAACCTCCCCAAGATCCTGCAAGGAAGACTCCAGCAATACACGGAGAGAGAGTCGCCAGATGTACAAGCTGGGTTTAGAAAAGGCAGAGGAATGAGAGACCAAATTGCCAATATCTGCTGGATAATGGAGAAAGGCAGGGAATTTCAGAAAAACAACTATTTCTGTTTTATTGACTATTCTAAAGCCTTTGACTGTGTGGATCATAATAAATTGTGGCAAGTTCTTGGTGGTATGGGCATACCAAATCACCTTGTCTCTCTCCTGAGGAATCTGTATAAGGAACAAGTAGCAACAGTAAGTATTGACCATGGAACAACAGACTGGTTCAAGATTGGGAAAGGCGTGCGGCAGGGTTGTATACTCTCCCCCAACCTATTCAACTTGTATGCAGAACACATCATGCAATGTGCGGGGCTTAACTAATGCAAGGCTGGGGTGAAAATTGCTGGAAGAAACATTAACAACCTTAGATATGCAGATGATACCACTTTGATGGCTGAAAATGAGGAGGAACTGAGGAGCCTTCTAATCAAGGTGAAAGAAGAAAGTGCAAAAGCCGGGTTGCAGTTAAACATCACAAAAACCAAGATTATGGCAACAAGACTGGTTGATGACTGGCCAATAGAGGGAGAAAACCTAGAGGCAGTGACAGACTTTGTATTTCTAGGTGCAAAGATGACTGCAGACGCAGACTCCAGCCAGGAAATCAGAAGACGCTTACTTCTTGGGAGGAGAGCAATCTTGATAAAATAGTGAAGAGTAGAGACATCACACTGGCAACCAAGATCCGCATAGTTAAAGCAATTGTATTCCCCGTAGTCACCTACGGATGTGAGAGCTGGACCTTAGGGAAGGCTGAGCTTTTGAACTTTGAGCTTTTGAAGAGATGCTTTTGAACTGTGGTGCTGGAGGAAAGTTCTGAGAGTGCTTTGGACCGCGAGAAGATCCAACCAGTCCAAACTTCAGGAAATAAAGCCCAACTGCTTATTGGAGGGAAGGATAGTAGAGACAAAGTTGAAGTACTCCCAACCTCCCAACCCTGCTATATGCCTGTGAGACGTGGACTGTCTACAGACGTCACATGCAACTCCTGGAACGATTCCATCAGCGCTGCCTCCCGAAAATCCTGCAAATCTCTTGGGAAGACAGGCAGACAAACATCAGCATGCTGGAAGAAGCAAAGACCACCAGCATTGAAGCGATAGTCCTCCGCCATCAACTCCGCTGGACTGGCCACGTTGTCTGG